GCTAACAGGCTATTTGTTAGCATGCCTCTGTGGTATATATATACACATATAAATCTATCTATCTATCTATCTATCTATCTATCTATCTATCTATCTATCAAAAAGTCCTAAGAAATGTGCATTATTTACACTTCACTAAAATGTTAAATATTAACAGTTTTTACCCTACAATGTGTAATATTTACACTTCTTTACACTAAAAAATGAAAAATTGACCGTTCTTACCTTATAGTGTGCCTTATTTGTAGTTTTCTACACTAAAATGTTAAATGTACATTATTTACACTTGTCTACACTAACATATCGAATATCTACAGTTTTTACCCCATAATATGCATTATTTACACTTTTTTACACAAGAAAAACAAGTGGAGGCATAAATAAATGATTAAATGAATAAATAAATAATTAAAGTTATAAATAAATAAATAAATAAATAAAGGTTATAAATAAATAAATATTATGTATTAATAAGTAAATAAATAAATAAATAAAGGTTATTTACAATACCACAAAATAAATAAAGGTAAATTACAAGTGAGAGGTTTTAAAATATAATAATATGATGATTTTGGGCTCAGACCAGGAAGAAAACCCAAAGCAGAAGCCAGTCTCCTTCACTTCCTGCCTCAGTGGGTTCAAACCTGAGGGGTCAAAGGTCAGCAGGGCCGAGTGGACTCGGTTTGGTGTGTGTGGGAGTTCAGCAGAAGCAAAAGCTGCTGCGGAAACAAAGTTTATTTCCCTCTGTGAGATAAAAATCAGCCACCAAACCGGTTCGGCTCCCGAAACGTGTCGAGTTTCACGTGTTTGTTCGGAGGAATTCAGCCGAGTTTAGACGTTTCCAGACAGAAAAACGCACCCGAACGCCTCACAGAGTCTCTGCTCTCAGTGGGGGTTTTATTGGTGACAAAACAGGTGAAAAACAAACTCTGTACAGGAAGAAAATGTTTCATTTAATGCAAAACATCCACCCATAACACAACACAACTCTTTGTCCTAACTCCCAAACATGGACACAAATTATGCTATTAATAGTCGTAAAGAAACCAAATAAAAACAAATGAGGGATTATCTTTAGACAGAGAAAAAAATAGAAGATTGAAAAGAATTTCTAAATGAGAAAAGTAAAAAAAAGAATAAAAATAAATAGATTAAATTTTATTATATAATAAAATTATATTCAATGACATATTAATTCATAAATATTTGATTCATTATAAATAACTCAATTATATTTAAATAAACACCATTTCTTATATAATAAAATAAAGAATCTAAAATCATATACAATTATGTATTAATTCATTAATATATAATAAATTAATTAAATATGATATATTTCATACAATTAATTATATAAAAATATATCAAATGTATTATGTAAGAAAATACAAATCTAAAATGATATACAATTATATATTAATTAATTGATATATAGTCAATTATATATGATATATTACATAAAATTATATGAAAATATGTAAATATTAAATAGTAAAATAAAATATAATAAAATAAAAATGGGAGGGGGCTACTCGGTTATCATTGTGGAGGTTTTCTCATAAAACCCCATAAAAAGACGCCATATTTAGTCAGATTTGTTCTCAGATCCCTGAATAGTGTAGGATCTCTTAGGGGGTCAGTTTCTGGGTCCAGTTTTTCAGCAGATCTCCTTCAGCGTGCGAATAAAAGTGATCAGGAAACGGAGATTACATCCAAATTAATTCTGAATAAATCGGGTTTCGGTCCAAAAACACACAGAGCTGTTGTTCGGGAGCCGGACTCCAGCTTTGAATACCCAAATAGTCGATGAAAAACGAGATGGAAAATGTCCAAAACAAAAGCCACTTCCTGCTGGCCGTCCGTCAGCCAATCAGGAGCCTCCTCGGGGCTTTGGCTGGTTTGCATGAGGCTCATTTCCCTGCTGGTGTCTGGACAGTTGGAGCCT